ACTACCACTACTACTACTACTACTACTACTACTACTACTAATGATAATAATAATACTAATAATAATAATGGTAATAATAATAATAGTAATAATACACTGTTACTGCGATCACTACTACTACTGCTGCTACTATTACCAACGCCAGCAGCAACAACAGCAACAACAACAGCAACAATAATGTTAAGACTGTTCGCCCTTATATGCTCGAGTGTCCAATAACGCGTATTTCCGAAACCCTCGATACCCGCCCTCTTCGTCTTCGATCGAACCCCTTTCGGGGGGTATACCTTTCTTCCCTGCAGGCCGGGCCCCGGCAAGCGGCGGGGCGGCCGCGGACCGTCGGCCTGGCCAGCGGCAGCGCTGATCGGCGGGGCGGCCGCGGACCGTCGACCCGACCCCAAGAGGGACGGACAGGGGGACCGACGACGACGACGACGACGACGACGACGACGTCGAAGACGACGCGACGACGACGACGACGACGGCGACGACGAGCGAAAGCGAGAGCGAGAGAGAACGACAGCAGGGCCACGAAGGGCACGAAGTAGGCCACGAAGGGCGACAGCGGGGACACGAAGGGAATGCGTATGGGGCCACGAAGAGCGCGAACGAGCGGGGGCCACGAAGTGCAGATAATGCGGGGCCACAGAAGGCAACTATGGGGCCACTGAGGGTAGCAACTGGGCCACGTAGGACAGTGAGGGGGACACAAATGGCGACAGCGGGGCCACGAAGGGCACGCACATGGGGCCACAACGGGCGCGACTCCTGGGTGCCTGGGTATCGGGAGCGCGGCGCTTGGGCAAATTACAAGAAATTCCAACGCAAGGCCATCCTTCAGCAAGTTGCAAGCAGGTCTCCAGCGAGAGCGCGACTCCAGAGCGCCGGGAGAGCGATTCCTGAATAAATTGTACGGAAGTCCCAAGCGAGAGCGCGATTCCTGAATAAAATGCGAGGGAGTCTCGGACGGGAGCGGGGGTCCTGGCTAAATTGTAAGGAAGTCTCAAGCGGGAGCCGTTGTTGTTGTAACCCGGGGGCCAGGGGCCCAGTTTGAGCATCAAGACTTTCCCTGTCAAAAAACAGGGTGCGAGCGTCGATGGGGCACACTTTGATGGAGAAAAAACAGTATGCACCGGTGGGGGGGATCAACAACAATTATTTTTCAGACATGAGAATTCAGCAACAGCAACAGCAACAACATCAACGCCAACAACAACATTAATAACAACAGCGACTCCCGCCGGATACATCCTCACATGTAATTCAAACATCGCGCCTCGCGCGGGACTTCCTCACAACGTATGCAGAAATAGCGCTCGCGCGCAGCACTTTCCTGCAATGTTATTCAGGAAGCCGCGCCTGCGACGCTCGGGAAGCACGCTCTCGCCCAGGACTTCCCCACGACGTGCTTGGAACTCGCGCCATCGCCAGAAACTGTTGTTTCCCTCCCCACAGCCAGGAGGACGCCGACCCACTCATCGAGCATCGAGCGTGGCCGACCGAGTGGCTGTCCGCTGGGTTGTTCTGGCCGGACCTCGGGGTCCACCTCCTGGGCACGGTAAGGTTGCCACTGGCTTGCTGCGCGCCATCGCCAGAAGCTCCCTCTCGCGACTCGGGAAGCCGCGCCCCTGCGACGCTCGGGAAGCACGCTCTCGCCCAGCACATCCCCACGACCCGCGTTGGACGGACGCTTCCGCGGCCCGCCCGCTCGACACGGCCGTGCGGGCCCGCCCCCGCCCCCTCCGCTCCTCCTTCTCCTCGAGAACGGGGGATTTTGGAGTCGCAGGGGTTCAAAAGCGCGCGCGCGAGGGTTTCGCGCTGAGTTCGCGACTGTTTCTGTGCAAACTCTGCTCTGTGTCCTCCTCCTCCTCTCCTCGTCCTCCTCCTCCTCCTCCTCCTCCTCCTCCTCCTCCTCCTCCTCCTCCTCCTCCTCCTCCTCCTCCTCCTCCCCTCCTCTACCTCTCTGCCTTTTTTTTCTCCAGGCGCCCCCCCCCCCCAAAAAAAAAAAACCTAAAAAATATATTTATTTTTTTTCTGGGGGGGGGGGCGCCAGGAGAAAAAAAAAAGGAATGCGACGTGACCACATCTGCCCTCCCCCCTAGAAGGATTCCTATTGGACGCCCCCATAAGAAGGATTCACAGTAAAATCCTCGACAGAAGGGTTCCTATCGAAACCCTCCACTGAATGATTCCTACCGAAATCCTCCACATGTGGATTCCTACTGAAACCTCCCACTGAATGATTCCTACTGAAATCCTCGAATGGCAATGGCAATGGCAATGGCAATGGTAACGGTAATGGTAATGGTACTGGTAATGGTACTGGTAATGGTTACGGTAATGATAGTGGTAACGGGGTAGCGAGGCAATGACAATGGCAATGGCAACGGTAATGGTAATGGTAATGGCAATGGCAATGACAATGGCAATGGCAATGGTAATGGTACTGGTAATGGTACTGGTAATGGTAATGGTAGAGGTAAAGGTAGAGTTGAAGGTAATGGTAATGGTAATGGTAATGGTACTGGCAATGGCAGTGGTAATGGTAATGGTAATGGTAATGGGAATGGAAGTAGGAATGGGAACGGGAACGGGAATGGAAATGATAGTGGTAGTGGTAATGGTAATGGCACTGGTAATGGTAATGGTTCTGGAAATTGTAATAGTATTGGGAATGGGAATGAGAATGGTAATGGTAATGGTACTGGCAATGGCAGTGGTAATGGTAATGGTAATGGTAGTGACGAATGGCAATGGCAATGGTGATGGTAATGGTAATGGTAATGGCAGAGGTAATGGTAATGGTACTGGTAATGGTAACGGTAATGGTAATGGTAAGGGGGTAGCGATTGGCAATGGCAATGGCAATGGCAACGGTAATGGTAATGACAATGACAATGAGATTGGCAATGGCAATGACAATGATAATGGCCATGGCAATGGCAATGGTAAGTGTAATGATAATGGCAATGGCAATGGTAATGGGGACGGGAATGGGAATGTGAATGGGAATAGGAACGGGAATGAAAATGGTAGTGGTAGTGGTAACGGAAATGGGAATGATAAGGGTAAGGGTAAGGGTAAGGGTAAAGGTACAGGTAATGGAAATGATAGCGATAATGGTAATGGTAATGGTAATGGTAAATGTCATGAGAATGGGAATGGCAATGGAAATGGTACTGGCAATGGTAATGGTAGTGGCTAATGGCAATGGCAATGGCAATGCGAATGGTAATGGTAATGACAGAGGTAATGGTAATGGTACTGGTAATGGTAACGGTAATGATAGTGGTAACGGGGTGGCGACTGGCAATGGCAATGACAATGACAACGGCAACGGTAATGGCAATGGCAATGGCAATGGCAATGGCAATGGGGATGGCAATGGGGACGGCAATGGCAATGGTAATGGCCATGGCAATGGCAATGGCAATGGTAATGGTAATGGCAATGGTAATGTGAATGGGAACGGGAATGGGAATGTGAATGGGAATGGGAACGGGCATGGAAATGGCAGTGGTAGTGGTAACGGAAATGGGAATGGTAAGGGTAAGGGTAAATGTAAAGGTAGAGGTAAAGGTAATGGTAATGGTAATGGCAATGGCAGTTGTAATGGTAATGGTAATGGTAATGGTATTGGGAATGGGAATGTTAATCGGAATGGTAATGGTACTGGCAACGGTAATGGTAGTGGCGAAGGGCAATGGCAATGGCAATGGTAATGGTAATGGTAGTGGCGAATGGCAATGGTAATGGTAGTGGCGAATGGCAATGGCAATGGCAATGGTAATGGTAATGGCAATGACAGTGGTAATGATAATGGTACTGGGAATGGTAATGGTGACGATAACGGTAATGGTAATGGTTATGGCAATGGTAACGGGGTAGCGATTGGCAATGGTAATGGGAATGGCAACGGCAACGGCAATGGCAATAGCAATGGCCATGGCAATGGTAATGGTCATGGTCATGGTCATGGTCATGGTAATGGTAATGGTAATGGTAATGGTAATGGTAATGGTAATGGGAATGGGAATTGGAATCGTAGTAGTATTTGGAACGGGAACGGGAATGGAAATGGTAGTGGTAGTGGGAAAGATAATGGCAATGGTAACGGAAATGGTACTGGTAACGGTAATGGTAATGGCAATGATGATGGGAATGGGAATTGTAATGGTGATGGCAGCGGTAATGGTAATGGTAATGGCAATTGTGTTGGTAATGCTAATGATAATGGCAATGGTAATGGTGGTGGCGAATGGTAATGGTAATGGGAATGGTAATGGTAATGGTAACGGTAATGGTAACGGGGTGGCTACTGGCAATGGCAATACCATGGCAATGGCAACGGCACTGGCAATGGCAATGGCAATGATAATGGCAATTGTAATGGCAATGGTAATGGCACTGGCAATTGTAATGGCAATGGTAATGGTAATGGTAATGGTACAGGTAAAGGTAAAGATAAAGGTAAAGGTAATGGTAATGGTAACGGTAATGTGAATGGGAATGGGAATTGGGATGAGAATGGTAATGGTAATGGTATTGGGAATGGGAGTGGAATGGGAATGGGAGTGGGAGAGATTGAGAGAGAGAGAGAAAGAGAAAACGAGAAAGGAAACATCAGCAGAATGATGAGGAACAAAGTGAAATATCGTAAATTTTCGTCTAAAACCCACAGCAACTCCACAATCCCCCGGCCTCTTCTCCTCCTCCTCCTCCTCCTCCTCCCCCTCCTCCTCCTCGTCATTCTCCTCCTCCTCCTCCTCCTCCTCCTCCTCCCCCTCCTCCTCCTCCTCCTCCTCCTCCTCGAAGTCCTCCTCCTACTCCTCCTCCTCCTTCTCCTCCTCCTCCTCCTCCTCCTCCTCCTCCTCCTCCCCCGCCCTCCATGCCTTCCCCCTGTTCTCTCCCCTCAACATTGAAGGGGCCCTGGGACACGCAAGCAAATACACACACAAATCACAGGATTCCCCATGTCTTCGCACATGTGCTGGGCTTTTTTGTCTTCTCCCCCACTACCCACAGTTGCCCATGTTTTCCTCTGGGAATCGGCGATTCATTGTCTGTGCGGTTTTCCCCTCCTGATTCAGCATGGTGCGGGACTCCCTCGCCTGCGAGCTCCCAAGTTCAGCATATTCTCGAAAAGTCCAAGGACGAGGTCAGCGTCGCCCTTGTTGGTGAAGTGTGTGCCCTTGAACGCCTCGCGAACCCATCAATCGTGTCACCATCTTTTGCTTGGACATCCTCGACGAGGCGCCTGACTGGCTCGTGGATCTCGGCATTCGCAATGTTGCCGAAGGACATGGCAAGGCAGAACTCCAGAAAACACCACCCCCTGGAAATGTATTCCCTGCCCCTCTCGACGGCGCTGCCCATGGGCAGCACAATCACCCGCGTCTTGCCGATGCTGTAGATCTGCTCCATGGCCGAAAGCGCCACCTTGAACTGCGCCTCCTCTGCCTCTGTGCGCACGGCTGGGTGCTTGCCGGGCTCGGAAGTCCTCTGCTCCAGCTCCAGCCGCCGCAGCTCAGGGTTCTGCTTGTCGTTCTGGGGCAAGCTCAAGTAGTCGATGAAGATCGCGTCATCGTCGCCGGCCAGCAACATGTCGAGCTGACGAACCAGCATCCTCAACTTCGCCCCCGTGGGATCTGGGTGTTCCTTCGACAACCACGGGTGCGACAACACGAATCTCGCTTTCGGCCCGTCCCGGACGAGCGGGAACCCATTACTGCCAAGAACTGCCTGGTCGCGCGGCACCTCCTGGCACCGCGGCATGATGTGCCCAGCCGCCACCAGGCGCCGCAGGTAGCCGCAACGCACCCACTTCACCTGCGCCCTGTCCAGATACTCGAGGTACTTCTCGTAGAACCCCTGGAGCTGGTCGTGGTCGTAGGAGTTGATGGCCGCGAAGGCATCCCGCGCCAGAACCTGCAGCGAGGTTGGCCCGGCCAGCCCCGAGCAGAGGGCCACGCTGATGCAGTCAATCATCGCGTCGGCGACCCAGAACCAGTGATCATAAAACACGACCTGCCTGGACACATTATAAGACGTACGAATGTCGACATTCAATAACATGCAAATTGTGCAAGCAAATGAAAACGCCAGGGTCGCGGCCGACAGAAGGATGAAGCAGGCCCCGCGCCTCTTCGCGCCGCGACTAGACAGCGCCGCACGTCCTGCGGTACCCAGCAGGCCCCAGAGGCCAGAGATGCAGGCCAGCGCGTAGCAGAGCCCCATGGCATCCCCGAAGGCCTCTGTGATGGCCGCATGCCACTGCAGCACCCGAGTCGCAGGACACGCGACCAAGCTCAGCAGGGCCGCGACCGAAAGAGCGCGGACGGTCCGAGCCAGCCGCCCGCAGCGGAGCTCCTCGAGCTTGTGCGCGACGAGGATCTGCTGGATGACCTTCAGAGCGCCCAGAAACACCAGAGAAATAGCGCTGAGCAGTGGCGCGATCACGTGGTGGGCGTGGCACCCCGCGGACCACGGCAGCTGCGAGGCGAAGAGGGCCGCGGTCGCGGCCGCGACCGCCCCGAAGCGCCACGTCCAGCGGTGCAGCGGCAGGCCCGCCTGGAAACTGCTGCGCCGCCACGCGCACCAGGCGGCCATCGCAGCGTACGGCAGGGCCACCGCCGGCCCCCACAGCGCGGCCTGCCTCCAATCTTCGAGCACGTGGCGGTAAATCCATCTGCACTTGATGCCGCACCTTGATGGGCCGATCTTCCACCACCACTGCCATAGGTGGGAGAGGGAGGAGGGGAAGAAGGAGGAGGAGGAGGAGGACCTCTTCCGTAGCCATTTTGGCTCAAGGCGTCTGGCGCAGGAGAAGGCCTGATCCCAGGTGTGCCGCCAGACAGGCTGGCCACGCTCCATAACGTACATCACTACGAAAGAGCCAGCGTGGCACAGGCGCAAGCGCGCCAAGCGCCACCAGGCGCGACTCCTCCTTTCTTTGTACAAGGCCCAAACCCTCCTTAGATCCCACCATAGCTCCCCCTCATTCAAGATGTTTGGAGCTAGCTCAGGACACGGCAAGGTGGGCGGTCCTCAACAGCAGTGGAATTGCGGCTGCGGCCGCTACGTGAAAGGGCATCATTGGTGGTGCTTGTGTGGCAACCACTTCGACAACAGGGTCGACAGCAAGGTTCGTCAGCCAAGCTGTCCTCGTGAGCAGCGCCCTGCACGTGATGGTGGAGGCCCCCGCCAGCATAGCCGTCCCCGTGACGCCCAAAAAGACATCAAGAGGGAAGAGCAGGAGATCAAGCAGTTCATCGGCCGAGTCATTCCCATGAGTACCTCGGACGCCCAGTGGTACATGCGTGATTGCGGCTACGATGTGGCCCCCTCTGACACGCAGGCCATCAAAGAATACAAGGAACGCACGAAATGGAGGCTCTATGACATCGCCCGTCTCGTCATCGTGGCGAGGAAGGCGGGCAAGGATGACACCATGCTCATGAAAGAAGTTGCGTGCCTAAAGTACATGATGGGTACCACAGTCCGCCTTACAGACCATTTGGCCAAGCTCAAGCAGAAGCGTGATACGTGCATCAATCGCATCAAGGCCTTGACTACGAAGATGAACGAGATTGGAGACCAGAGGAGTGAAGCAGAACGAGATCTAGTGTTGTGGAAGAAGTCCATTGAGGAGCTGGAGGACCTGGAGGACTACCAGGTCGGCAGCGAGATGGACGAGGAGCCGCGCACCTACGCGGCAGGAGCGCACCCCGACACGGCGGAGAGCATGTACGGCCCCCGGCAGATGCCTGGCACGACACCCCCGCCGACAAGTGCTCGGCCCAATGTGGACGCATGCATCGACAGATCGAAGGCGGCACAAGCAGTGAGGCAGGCAGCTAGAGAGGCAGCGCCATTCCCACCGCAGCCGCCGCCGCCGCCACCACAGACCAACCAGAAGGTGGACCAGATGGAGCGTTTGATCAACTTCATGATTGAAAGGCAGCAGGCTACCGAGGCGCAGATGAACATCATCGTGGGCCGCCTTCAGCCCAAGGCGCCAATGCCTCAGGCTGCTACGCCAGCAACGGTGGGGTTTCACGTAGCGGGGATGACGCCCAATGGAGGTGTACCACCGCCCCTACACATGCCGCCACCAATGGAACCTACGGGAGCAGCAGCGTCAGCACCAGCTGTTCCATCGACATCGGCAGCATCGTCAGGACCAATGGCAGCGCCAGGGACGCCAATCGGAGGGACCGGAACACCAGCTGCGACCAGGAGCGATTCGCCCATCCCGACGGAGCAGACCATGCATGCGAAGGCCGAGACGATCTACTCCAGCCAGCTCACGCCGACGGAGATGGCCAAGGATGGATACGGGACGCAAGCCAAGGAGGAGATTCCTGGCCCCCAAGATATGAGTGCCCCCTTTTTGAGCCCTACCCAGCCAATGGCCCCTCTGTCCCAAGAGGATCCTCTCATGCCCCCACCCGTGGGGATGGTGGACCCCGAGGGCCCGAAGGAGGAGGAGCTTCGGAACCCTCCTCAGAAGGCGGCGAGGCTGGAGGACGAGTTTTAAGCCGTGTCTCGTTCGGGGAATGCACGATCAGGTTAATTCAACCCCTCTCCCCGTGGCGGGGCCACAGGCAGAGAATATCCACCCCCCCATCTTCTGCAAACCTGATGTCGTGTATGCGTACCCCTGGGGTTAAAGTTTTGAAGTTTCGTGACAATTCGATACCTTCTTCTGAGGCTGGTGACACCCAGCGTGCGTTCTTGTCCCAGGGGAGCCGTAGTCCTCCAGTGGGGACCCATAGGAGTCGACACGCCCCCTGCGATAGGGAGGGTGGGATGGACAACGCTGAGGAGGAGGGGGAGTCACGTGCCACACGTCTTGTACTTGCTCGCCTTGCGGGCAACCCTTTTGCACCGCTGGCTGTGTGTGAGGATGAGGCAGTACAGTTGCTGTCCCCCCCCAGGGCATTGGGGGGCATCCTCCTAATACGACATCTGCTTGCGCAGAAACACTTACGGCTGGAGCAGCGTCAGCTACCACCTCCGTTCCTTCCCCCTTAGACCTCTGGTGCCCGTTCGAGCGGAAACCAACCGTGCTGGAAATGCTATGCCGTGCTCCGGCTATGCCTTGGGTCTTGGACCTGCCTGGGGAGCTTCCTGCGGACGCATCTCGGGCCCTCAATATGTGTCCTACTAGAGAGGCCTCCTGGGATGAGGTTTCGTATTTCACCGATGGGTCCATCCATTATGGGGATGATTCCACGGGCAACTGGACTGTGGTCCGTGTTGGGAGTGATTCTGGTGGATGCGCTTTCCTGGGGGTCTGGGCAGCTGCTTTCCTGGATAGCTTTCTTACGCCTGGAGCCCGCTCGGGTCTAACAAGCACGGACATAGAGTACGCGGGCGTTTCGTGGGCCCTCCTCGCCATCATTGCGAATGAATGCCACGAGCCGTCTAACATCTTCACCGACCCGCTGGACGTCGTCCAGAGCCTGTACGGTCTGTCGGCAGTGGCTCCAACCAACGTAATTGCCAGAATGACCCAGGCATTGCATGATATCGCTTGCGCTCTTGCAGCTAAACGGTGGCCTGAGCACCCCCACCCCCTCCTCATCAGACATGTCAAAGGCCGTGAAGGCCAGCCTTGGAATACCTTGGCTGATCATTTGGCGGGGCTAGTGGGCAAAAACGACTGGGGTCCCTGTTTTCCCCCCCCCGTGTGGGTTGAGGCCACCGAATTCAGCAAGGACCGTGAGTGGGAGTGGTTAACCTTAGCCAATACCAACACAGTGGGGTCCTATCCTGCGTTCGAGGCTGGGGGGTTGAGAGCTCCACAGATTGTCCACGATGCAGAAGGCCTAGGGCACAGGCCTGAGCTTCGAGAGACCAAGATTACGCATGATCTGTCTTTCAAGGTGGCCACCTTTGACGTTCAGAGCGCGGCCAACGCGAAGAGAAGGGGCGTGAAGGGTAGACTGCGCTTCGCTCGGAACGTGGCCATCAAGGCCCAATTCGATAAAGAGGACATTGTGCTGGCCGGCAGTCAAGAAGCTCGTAATCCGAGGGGGGGTTACATTTCGGGAGCATATCATGTAATATCGTCGGGGGCGTTGAACCACGAGTTCGGTTGCGAACTATGTATTAGCACACGAGTCGCATGTGGATCGGCCAAGGGCCAGCCTTTGTTCTTCACTAAGCAACACTTTCGTGTCATTGCCGCCGACCCCCGCTGGCTCTTGGTGGCTGTCAACGCCCCTGGTCTCAAGATGAACGTCATGGTGGGACACGCACCCCACTCTGGTTGCACCCCTGCTGCGCGTGTGGCACTCTGGAACTCCATTGGGGACCTCGTGAGGGCCTGGGGGGTGGACCTCTTCTTTGTCGATGCCAACGGGCGCCTGGGTAATATCACTTCTGAGTTCGTTGGTTCCTGCGGATGGGCCCAGGACCAGGACGAGGGGGGGGATGCCCTGCACGAATTCTCCCTTGAGCACCACATGCCTGTACTCAACACCTTCCATGGTGAGGAGGACCACTGGACGTGGGAATCTACCCACGGGCTCAGACACAGAATTGACTACATTCTAAGTTGTTCTTAGATGGCCAACCGCGCCCTTTCATCCGACGCGCTGCATAGCTTGGACAGAGTGAATGATTTGACCGACCACATTCCCATAACTATGTTATTCAAGTGGCAAGCTTCGCTTACTCGCCGCATTGCGTCACACAAGCGTTTGGACCCTGAGGCCTTTAAGGACCCCAAGAAAGTTGATGTTTTTAAGCAGGGCCTCAAAGAGATTCCCCAAGTGCCTTGGGGGACCCCGCCGTCTGACCACCACGCCGCCATCAACTCTGGCGTCGCCAAGGCTGCTGTTGAGGCATTTGGGGTTGCCCCTCGGAGGGCACGTCAATCTTACATTTCCGAGGCCACTCTCGATCTTATCACTTCGAGACGGGGCGTCCTTCGGGTTCTCAAGAAGTGCTCCAAAGTTCTGGGGGGCATCTGTGTCTCGTCTCTGGAGCACCTTCGGGGCCGTTGGATACTAGGAGATAGTTTAGGGTTTGCGATGGCAGACACCGGCTACGCATGACGTCAGCCCTATATGCAATTAGCTAATGCCTTTGACGACTGGACCCATCGCAGAATAGGGCGTGACAAGATGTACCTTTGTGCGCATAAGTTTCTAATTGACACTGAGACTGTTCTGTCCCAAGCGATTGAGAAGGACAAGCGTGATCACTTGGATGCCGAAGCTGTTGACATTGAGAACGCTCGGGACTTTGGGCTACCCAAGCGAGAATGGGACAACGTAAAGTATCCTGCTCTGTTTGGGGGGCGCCCCCATCGTATTCCACACACCCTGCCCTTCTCCACTGACGAGTCTGGCCACCCCCTCACCACGGAAGAGGCGGTGGCCGACAACTTACAAGAGCACTGCGCCAGGATTGAGACTGGCAAGATAACTGATGAGCAGGATGTCGTCTCCAGATTCAATGACTTGCCCCCCACCCTCCAGGACTTTGTACCTAGGGACCTGAGTTGTTTTGCTACTAAGTACGAGACCGTGTCTCTCATGCGAAAATTGCAGGGGGGCAGGGCTGCTGGCCCTGATGGCTCATCAGTTCATCTCATGAAGCCGACACCCATTGAGATGACGGGGGTGATGCTGCCCTTGCTTACTAAGATTAGTATGACTACTAAAGAGCCCCTCTCGTTTAAGGATGGGAGGTATGCGGCCTTTTTATAAAGGCAAAGGCTCTATCGCCTTAGCACTGAACCAGCGCAACATCCTCATTACTAATACCGTGAGCAAGCTGCATCACCGTCATCTCAGGGCTCTTTCACTAGACTACCTCTACATGGCACTGCTCACGCAGCAGTGTGGAGGACTTCCTGGCAGGTCGTGCGATCTGGCTGCCCATGTTGTAAGAGTTTCTGGGGCACTGCTGTTCATCATCGTCTCTCCGTCGGCTCCTTGTTTGTAGACCTTACGGCGGCCTTTTACTCTACTATTAGGCAGCTGGCGTTCGACCTACCCGAGAACGATGAGGCTCTGGATGAAACCCTCAACGCCATGGAGCTGCCCGCCATTCTTGTCCAAGGGATTCGCGTTCATTTGGCCCAGGGACCGCTTTTTGAGAAACATATCGACAGGCCTCACTTGTTGGCTCTGCTGAAAGACGCTCAGAGAGGTTCCTTCTGGGCAGTCATGGGCGCTCAAGGATACGTTGTTCCGAGAACTGGCACGGGGCCAAGCACAATCATGGCCACAGACCGCTTTAATGTGGTATTCGCTAGTGTGCAACATAAGATAGAGGCGGAAGCAGCCGCCATGGGACTGGGTTGGATACCACAAGCGGGGGTCATAATATTTTCACAGGGGGACCCCGACTCCGACCCTATCATATCTGTTTCCTTTGTGGACGACCTTACCCCCTCTGTCACCTCAATGTGCCTGCGAACTGATCCCCCGCCTGGCCTTACTCATTGATATTGTATACAGCGTCTGCGCGAGGCACGGTCTCAAGTTGAATTCTACTAAGACCAAAGTACTGCTGTTCTTTCGAGGGAAGGGTGCACAGGAGGCGCACCGAGACTTACATGATATGGACGAGCCCCACATTTCGTCCACACATTGGGGGGTCAAGGTAAAGGTAGCTCGATCCCAGACATGTTTAGGAGTTGTGCTGACTGACGCGTGTAACGAGGGGGTCGAGCTTACCGCCAGGAGTACTCAAGTCAAGGCCGCCTGCCGCCCCATTAAGAAAGCACTTGCGCCGCGAGAGATCCTGTCTCTTCGTGCCAAGGTCTTGAATTCGGAAGCCTTCGGAGCGAGCAAGGGGTTCTATGCTCGTGCCCTCTGGAGGCCCTTCACGGTGGCCAATCAAAAAAGGGTCCGCATCTCTCACGAGTTCATTTACAGATGTGCGTTAGGCTTTCCTGCTGCTAACTCCAGAGAGTTTCAGGTTTCTTACGAAAAGGTTCTGGCCCTTGTGGACCGCTTGCCTTGGGAAGCCGTGGTACACATGAACAGGCTCCGTTATTTTGTTCGACTTCTGACTAAGGCGCCCCCCTTTTTGAGGTACCTCTTGGATGCTAGTTTGCTTTCTCGACACGGGTGGGTCCTGTCCCTGTCTCAGAGCGTCGACTGGCTCACAAATTTGTCGACCCCTCCGAAGTTCCAGGGGAGGGTGCCATAGATGATTGGGTGACTGCGGTACGTTTGGATGTCCCCCGTTTTCGCTCCCTGCTGACGGCTACCATCACAAAATCCAGAACCTGGTGGTCCGACCGACACCGGCTTCACATGTGGGAGGAGAGAGTCACCCAGCTTGTCAGGGGCACCAGCATGCAGGAGCCAGATGCGGATGTCGAGCGAAGGTACCTCTGCTACGAGCGTGGGCAACTTTTCGTCTCACCCAGGCATTTGAAGTATCATCGAGGGAAGTCCCATCCTCAACGCAACACACCCGCGCACATGGCTGTTGGCACGGATTGTGGCATCTGCAGGTGGGACTTTCGATCCAACGGGCGCCTTCACAAGCACCTTGCGCGTGCGAAGCCTTGCTTGAGGGGTTTCATTGCCGCTGGCGTCCGATATTCTGTTGAGGAGGTCTTTGATGCCCGCGAAAGTCGCAAAAAGGAGCAGCAGACGAACCGTGCCAAAGGCCTCACTGACGATTTTGCTCATCTCCCTCCCAGGAAGGTTGCAGGGCCCCCGAGGGGGCCACGTGTGGTCCAGGCGGACATTGTGGCGTCGGAGCCCCTGGCCCCGGTGCCCCGCCGCCTCCTCCCCCTATTCCTTCTGTTCCGTCCCCGCCCCCTTTGCGTCCCTTCCGTTACATTCTCCATCTGCTTTCGGGGCAAAGGCGAGAGGGGGATGTGCAATTTTGGATAGAGAAGCTGGTTGAGCAGCACCCATCCCCCCTGGTGGTCTTGTCTGTAGACATCACCCACTCCCCCACGTTTGGCGATCTGACGAACCCCAGGATGATCGCTTTTTGGTTAGGGTTACTTGAAAGCGGTTGGGTGGCCGCGGT